TATTAAGAATCTTGCAATTCCATTGGTTAATCCGTACCACATGACGAAACTATACATGTAAATCATGTGACTGACACTGACCTCGAATATTGACTCGTCACATGATCAGCATTGACCTGTCTTGTGATAAATATTGACTTGTCTGCTAGCAAACAAGATGTCCTCTGGTACACTAACATTTTACGGTTCGCAGGTAGGTTAATGTAATGAAACAGAGGACAGTTTTAATGCTCCCTCGGACCCCACGTCCTTCTATGGCCTCATGCGGCCTCGGCCCGGTCAGACCAATTCAGGGGTCGGGTCAATGGATCATTCTTTTTATTGGCCTGACCAAGAGTAATCATTTGTATATTGTATGTGATGTTAGCGATTCTGTGGCATCATACATGACTCATGCTATCAGCCAGTGACATAAGAACCCCGATTATTTATATTTTAGTGGACACGTCAACCTTTGTGTAAATAACCGAGCCTGCATTTGTTTACGATATGTTTGATTAAAACGACATCTCATTTGGTATATTCATGTCATACGTACCCAGCTGTGTTTTCACCAAATCCTCCGTGTCATCAAACTAATATGATATTTTAGGGTCCAAGGGAACCTTTATTCAAACAATCTTCGAATCTGGAGCAGGCAAATAGGTCTTGACAACGATCAAAGTCGTCGAGACTTGGCAGCACTCAATTACGTAGGTCGCACCAGTAGTTCCCTTTCACTTACTACTTAGGGGGCACAACATTCACTGGGTGCAAAGAAATGTCTGGTCCCGATCCCTTGTGTCCCTGTGATTCAGTATGAATGATATAGCCACTTTCCAGCATGTGATATCTTGAGGCTATGGTCCAACATCCAAATTCTGTTGTTGAAACTGTAACTCACCTGACGGGAAGGCAGTTCCAGCAACGCCACGTTCTCCAACTGAATGTGCCTGTCCAGGAGTACAGGTAAGTCATCTGATTTCCCGACCACCAGAACCCGTGATGCGTGACACCAGTCGACTGAGGAGTTGGATCTTGTTCCACAGATTCCAGACTGGCGAAGGAAATGTGATTGATTTGTCTCGATGTTTTAATAAAGAGGTGAAAAAAGGTATTTCAAGGTATAGTATCAAGTGAAAGAAAAAGGTTAACAATATCAAGAAAATATTAGCCACGAATGAACATTATTTACCTCCCTTTTTGGCACTTTCTTTTCATTGATGAACACATTTCATTTAATGTTTATGAAATGATTGGAGTCTCACGAAAGGACATTGTATATATAATAACATATTATACGGAAACACACATGATTATGTTCACAATCACAAAAGGCAATAACGTGGGTCAAATATGTGGGAGCAGAAATAAATAATAAATAAAATAATAATAATAATAATAATAATCTATTTTCTTAGAGACATAATTATAAACATTTTGTTTGACATACCATCTGACGTAGGACTGAAACAGTGGCAGTTGCATCAAGGAGAAGCAGCACGTTGAGGTGGGGCTGGACCACATTCTCCACATCTCTCAGGATTGTCATGAGGTGTTCCTCTGTGGAGAAGCTGATATCATAGTCCACATAGGAAATACCTGATGCTTCCAACGAGCGGCCAAAGTGTACACCTGAAACGTAATATATGTACTACACTAGGGGTCAAGAGAAAGAAATTAAACAAAACATCAAATGGTTACTATTTGCATTTTAACCAAAATAGTGTTCGTAAATAGTTTATAATAATCTTTCAAACTCAATTAATGGTTCTGAAAATCAAACCTTTGATGAGCGTATTAGTGCAAATGAAATTTGATCGCAAATTTTTTTCCGCATGTGGAGTATGACGCCAAACTGATATTGGAGTTTGTCATTTACATCGAAAGTTCAAGAAAATCACAATGATTATCCCTCGATTAACTCAGAAAGAGAAAGAACTCTGAGTATATTGCAGATATGGCATGACTATGTTGCCCGAACTTTCGGGAGTATCCGTGCTACAGTCGCCAGGTGGAAGATGCTTCAGGCATACATAGCGTACAGTCGACATGACTGAGTTGTAGGCCATCAATCAAAAGCCACCAAGAACATAGAATGTTACGCCTGCTCATCCCAGAAACAGATTCCTGACACTGATATCATCATCAGCAACTGGCCTTGGACATCCTGCCAGCCACAAACTGAATCAGGATCAACCGACCTTACCGAGGAGTGGCAATGGCATGTCCAAACAGACGTCAGAGACGAAGACAAGCCAGAACAGTACAACAATGACACAACAGGCACTGGCATCGAGAACTGTACGCCCTAGTAATCCACGAGTGTCGATTCCAACTCTTCAAGGTTGATGGCAGACTTCATGTCCACTGACTAGGAGAAGTCATTACACGCTATTGCGTCCATTGAAGACTGATCTGCTTGTGTTCGACGCCAACCACTACACACAACGTTACATCAACGAGGTTATTCGTTCAGCAAAACCCCAAATCATGTCCAGCAAGACAACCTGAGACCAGGCACAGGACGAAGTGCGCGCGATGTTCTTCAGGTATTGCATTGGCCAGCTCGGTCACCTGACACGTCACCCTTCGTGTACCTTTGGGACCATAGTGGACGTCAGATCAGACAATGGCAAGTTCTTCCGGTCAACAGATATGCACTCAAGGAGGAATTGAGGATTCCAGTTCAAATCATCAGGAGCCTTACGTTCTCTGCTGATCATAGAGTAAGTGATTGATGGTTGTCTCGCCTTTGAAGGTGTTTGTGACATTCGCAAACTGGTTGGGCTAGTCATATCATCGGAATCGAACAATGGACTCATGATTTTGAATAAATAAAAAATGGTAAAATTATTTCCATTATGAAGACATGACACTGCCCTTTCCATAATCATAAGAAATCTCCATGGTTTCACTCCGAATATTGCCCAGCCTTGTTATCTCTTGTCATGATATGGCTGGATCAGCGTCAACATTGACGTTAAGCAACGCCCACTGAGTATCTTGTAGATGTCGAAAGGCCACAAGGAATGACATCAATAACAAATTCTGACATGTGTTGGTCACTCATAAAAAAAAATCATGTGTAACAACCAATATTTAGAATCTAGTTTGCGACTCAGGATCCTGTGTATATTTTTACAAAAGGGGAAGAAAATTAATTAAACCCTTTGCCAGTCTTTGCCTGGGTATAAAATGTCCAACTTAGATTTGTTCCACACCTTTGGCAGCAACACAATCAGGGTCTGACATGCACGACCTTTCTTTATTTTGCTGTCAACCATCATAGGGCCACTGTTCAATAATGAATCTGTACGAAAAGGACATTTCTGTGAGACCCGTGAAGACCAATCCATACATGCCGTAATAGGTGATAGGTGATAGGTGATTATGCTTGTCGTAAGAGGCGACTAACGGGATCGGGTGGTCAGGCTCGCTAACTTGGTTGATGCATGTAATCGATCCCAATTGCATGGAACGATGCTCATGATATCAATCACAGGATTGTCTGGTCCAGACTCGATTATTTACAACCCGCAGTCATATACCTGGAATGTTTCTGAGTGCGGCGTTAAACAAACAAAACAACCACCCGATCCCGTTAGTCGCCTCTTACGACAAGCCTAGTCGCCCTGAAGCAACATGATAGCAAGAAAACTTCCGTAAAGAAATAAGCATGTACATCAAATGACTCACCCAGATCCTGCTCACGCAAGACAAGAACAGACTGCCAGTTAAGAGAAATCAGAAGGTGCACCAGCATGACGTTGTGCTGTTACTGGCCCCGGCGATGGTAAACTTCTGAATAGTTTTACCATTGAATAAATGCGGAGTGTTAATCATTTCGGAATTCCCATTTTATAATCAAGCAAGTTCTTAAATCGGGATGTTATCACGCTCTTGTCTTTTAGTTTTCTCAATCTGTCTATTTAGTTTTGGCCATGGGTACACATATTATCATTCGTACACATAATTAATTGAAATTGTTGTGCAGGATGTCAGCAACAGCTGTGAGTAAAAAGCTCCGCATCGAACTATTGATAACTAGTTTAAATATGGACAGCGATTCTTGAAAACATTAAATTTGTTAATTTTATTGCTTTTGTTCCAATTAGCTACTGACGTGACAGACAATATTTGCTTTATTATATAGATAGTATTGGATGAATTCGACTGATGATAAACCCCATGCTTAATTAGTAGATTTTCAAACTTCACGAGGTCAATAATGCTAAAGAGTTTCTACGTTTGTTCAAAACGTCATTAAAAGAAATTGGTGCCAGTCGGTATAACAACAAGAACTCTTCTGTAAACTTGTTATGTTATCTTTGCACAACATGCATATTTGTAAGAACTGAAATATCCCAATTAAATATATATCGACTTGATATCATCAATACAAACACATTGTTACCCGGCAATTTATGTAATGCGTTTCATTTCAGACGACCCGTGAAGATCCGGGGTAGAATAGGTCTTCCCATGCTTGCCGTAATAGGTGATTATGCTTGTCGCAAGAGGCGACTAACGGGATCGGGTGGTCAGGCTCGCTGACTTGGTTGATGCATGTTATCGATCCCAATTGCATGGATCGATGCTCATGATATTAATCACTGGATTTAGTGGTCCAGATGCGATTATTTACAGACCGCCGTCATATAGCTGGGATATTGATGAGTCCGGCTTTAAACAAAACAACACACACACACACACACACACACACACACACACACACACACACACACATATTCTGAGCTAATGGAATTTCTTTATTAGAGAGAAGGGAAAGTGCAGGAAAGTTTATAAAATATGTGGACGAGCTGAGTTTGAATCGCTTGAAGAGAGTTTGAGCAAAGAAAGTTCTCACAAGCACTTACGGTAGTCTTAAAGACTTAAATGATGCACTGTTCGTTGTCTGCAGGTGCCACCAATTTACAGCTGGAATATTGCTCCACAGTACACATGCATATTTTCAAGGACGGAAAATAACCCTATTCAATCAATCAATCAATCAGTTTATTCGGTAATAAGGCCTCGGGCCCACGTACAGATATATACTAGTTTCACATCAAGTGCTGCTTGAAATAATATTTCCAGGTAAGAAGAATGAAGACAGATATTATCTTTAACATAATTGGCTAAGTACTCAAGACAAATTTACATCAGAAGAGTTTAACATTCTAATTATAGAATGTGTCTTTACGATTATTACCAGTAATGAAGTTTTAATATGGGAAATATTTAGAGCGAATATCTTCATAAATAGGGCAAACAAGTGTGAAATGAATTTCATTTTCAACTGCCCTTAACTTGCACAATTGACAAAACCGGAGTGTCTTATCGATGCCATCCCTCCTTCCTGTGTTATGCATAATTCCCAGTTTTCCAATATGTAAAAGGGTAAGCATACGTCGCATTTCTTTTGATAATACATTTAATAGATACGCTCAAGTGATAATGATGTCTTAAATAATGAATACCCTTTTATGTGTTTCAGGATTATGAGAGCAATTATACAAACACATTCAAGCCCCGCGATCTCCTTAGAAGTGAAACGATGGACAGTTATATGAAAATATTTCACACATAAACCCAATGTCATTCGATCTGATTTATAAACACAGAGGCCAAGGCAATCGAGCGTTTTGCTTTATTGTAAATTCAGATGAGATACAGCTATAATATTCATATCACATACATTTATTAACGTCTAATACTTACAAAAATATTGACTGCTTTAAGGGACATGTCTGGGGCTGGATGAATGATTATAATAGCAAACCTGTTTGATAATAATAAAAGCTGCATTAAAATAAATTCCTTCTTAAATTTCGACTCGGCGGTAACATTCCATTAAAGTTAGGAAATCAATCCATGGCAAACTATATCACGATTTAGACAACACAACTGCAGCTGCATATATTACTCATTTATTGATGTGCCCTTTCCCGTCATCTGCCATTGTGTGTTTCAACCTATACCAAACAATCTCTGCCACCAGAATCATGGAACTACAAGCCAGTCCCACTCCCACTGCAAAGAAGATACTCTGGATCTTGATCAGTGACATGGCTTTAGGATAGTCCTCTACTTGGCATCCGTCATCCGCAGAGGATGGAAACCATTCTTGAAACGTTCGCTGCAGGATGCCACTGTCGCTGAGATGGTACATGCTGATGATGACAAGATTAAACATATTACGTCAAGAGGAGGATGCTATCGACCAAAATACAATTGACATACATACATGTATTTAAGGAGATAACTTCCTTTGTTTGTTTGATTTTCTCTTGTTTAGGGGTATTTGATGCCCAGAATTTACTTTTGGAGTTTTAAAACGTTCCAAAGTCTGCTAAATGTTACACAATGATATTGGTCATGCTTGTCCTACTTGAAGGGACAATACAAAGATTCTGTGAACCCTCAGAGCTTAACCTTTCCGCGAACACCGTGTGTCATCACTGATTTTCAGTGATCCATTCATATAATTTTCACGGCTATTGTGACCCATAAACCAAATGGAATCTGTTTCGGCGGGTAGTCAACTGGTTATTCTCTTGCATTGACGTTTTATATATTCTATTCAAATATTCAAATTTTTGTCCAAAGGGGGTAACCTTCACTCGCTCATAAATTTACTTACTTAACTATTGAGAACAATGTCTACAAAACTATATACATGTACTTGGCAGTCTGGATACGACTGTATTTTCGTTCCTATCGTTGTCTGTTCAAAATAAATACATCTCTCGGCACATACCTTTTTTGGAAGTCTTGTTTGAGAGGGGATGTCTTCGGAAGAAAGAAAGCCAAGAAGGCCCTTCCAAATTTGGTGTCAATCACTTTTAGTTTGCAGTTGGCGTTGCTTATGGCTGTAAGAAGTAGGCCTGAGATATAAGCGTATTTTCCGTCCCATACTTTTTCCAGGTGCTTGGTGTCATTGCTACTGAATACATCAGGGTCTCTCGTGGATAATCCTTGCACTCTTTGTTTGATTGCCATGACATCTGACCGCCTTGAATTCTGAAATTGATAGCGAAATTTATTTCTGTACTTTGAGTCTGACCCAAATGCAAATATGGCTGCATTTAAATCTTTGACGTTTTACTTTGTACATCTATTCCTTCAAGACATTGTCCTTGGAGTTCAGTTTACCTGGAACAGGTTTTCAGTGATGCTGGTTGAATCGTAGCCTATTTTGTAGTCATCTCTGGCTGCCAACTCAGCCATGTTAGAAAATGGTGGATTTTCTATTTTTACAGCAAATATCGCCATGATGGTCCCGCAGTAGACAGCAGAAATAACAGTTGTTAACATCCACCATCCCGTTACCAGGACCCGCTCCGAGACATGTGATGATCTAATGGTTGATCCTGTGTAAACCGTAACATATAATATTCATACGGTGCAAGTCCCACCATCCGGAAGATTACTTTTGTCTTATTTATTATGAGGAACATTAATTCGTACATAAGAGTCATTAATGCATGACTGCGTTTTTTCAGACGAATTTAGCGAGTTTGGTTTTACACCACTTTTAGCAATATTCCAGCAATATCACGGCGGGGGACACCAGAAATGGGCTTCACACATTGTACCCATGTCGGAATCGAACCCGGAGTTTCGGCATGACGAGTTAACACTTTACTAGGCTACCCGACCGCCTCAATTTTACTGGAAAGATTGTCTTTCCTATGAAACAGCAGAGATTCACTTTGGCATAGTAAATGCAATATACAGTAAACGAAAGGCGTGACCCCTTTTGACGACCTCAAGACCCGTGGAGATCCGGGGTAGAATAGATCTTCAGCAACCCATGCTTGCCGTAAAAGGCGACTATGCTTGTCGTAAGAGGCGACTAACGGGGTCGGGTGATCCGGCTCGCTCACTTGGTTGATGCATGTCATCGATCCCAATTGCTTGGATCGATGCTCATGATGTCAATCACTGAATTGTATGGTCCAGACTCGAATATTTACAAGCCGCCGTCATATAGCTGGGATATTGCTGAGGTGGCGTTAAACAACAAACCAACCAACTTAAGATTGAGAACTTTTGGTAAAACATGAAGAGAAATAGATATTTCCTACCAAATGTTTGACAATGTCATATTTTCTCACCTTGCTTCAGAGTGGCCCCAAGAATTTCAAATGTTGTTGTTGTAGCCTGCATTGTCAAGGCCCTTGTTTGACATTTATTGAAATTGAATTCGTCCTTATTATGAATTAATCTTATGGAAGACAGGAAAATAATACATGTAATCAGAGACACACCAAATATCATAAAGACATAAGGTCGGAAAGGCCGGAGAAAGATCAGGAGATGGTCCTTGTCCTCGTCCTCTTTCTTGTACATGATCACTTGTTTGGTTTCAGCGATTGGAGGCAGGAGGTAATCAGCAACTGCAGTGCGGTCACTGTGGATAGTTAAGATGTCCGATGCCAAATCAGCCTCCTGCAATGATCAAATTAAATGTGTACTAAAATCAACAATAAACACAATGTTTATATAATATAATCATTCATGAATACTATTCAACCAGTTTGTCCTGTTATGATTATGAAAAAATACATTATTAACCGAGTGTTTCCGTATCATAACTGGCCATATTAAATGCATCATGCCAATGCGTACCTTCCTAGCCTGTTTTCAACGTAGTAACGTTTGTAATTCTTTGGTCAAATCCACTTTTCAAGTGTTTACTTGCGTTTGCCCAGTAGTTTAGGTAATACGATAATGTATGAATATAAATTCAAGCGTGTCGCTCTCAATACCCTGCCTTTTACTCTATAATATGCAGGTTATATCACTACCGCCTGTAATTAATTGACAAATATATACAGTATGAGCAACAATACATGTCACGGGGGTACAGTGATGCAACAGATTTAAATGAACTGATCATAGTTTTTCTGAAAATTGGGGATTTTGTTCTCTGTCCAGATCTGATACTCTGTGCCACTCCTTACCCTTCTCTGCAGCATCCCAAATACTCCTGTCCATGAACCATTGATGTTCTGGCCCCATTCATCCTCTCTTGGCGGTATAACTCTGTAACTGTTCAATAAAGCTTATTATAAAGCCTTGTGAGAATGCTTGTCACGCTTTTTAGGAAATGGAAGTAACGTTGAATTGACGTGTTTAAAACACATTTTGTTATTTTCATAAATAATACATTAATATTGAGACCGAGATTAGTTTGTGCATTCATTAACACTTTCTACTATACTGGTTTCTTGTGGTCAGCCATTTTTCTTTTCAATAGGATTCTTTTTCTTGAAGTTAGAACTTATTATTCGACAGATGTCATTTGCTATTTGCACCACATGTTTTTGTATGTCAATCAAAAACTCACCTGAAGTTCATAGCCTCTGCCAGCAGTTTCAATATACAAAAGGAAAACCCGAACACCCTCCGCTCATTCACTTTCAGGTAGCCATAGCCATAGTTGTTTTCCTGCAAGTACAAACGACGGGCATATTCACATCATAAATAATTGTGGCAACTTACGGGCACATTGTGGAATGATCTAGATGAGTTGGTGGGATAGATAGGTCGTTAAATATGAGGGTGTGTGCGAGGTATAACGTATTACCACACCATAACCATCTAATTTGGAGACATGTGATCCACAAAAGTACCATGGAAACGTAAATTGCTTTGTTGTGGTTTACCTGTGACTGCATGGTCACAAGAATCTCTCTCTCTCTCTCTCTCTCTCTCTCTCTCTCACTCTCTCTCTCATTTCCAGCATGTCATAGGAAATGTTAGGCACATCATAACACATGACGGGCACACAATGGCAATACGGGAATAGGTGGCACAAGTTTCATTCCAGTTTACTAAGAAAATATTATTATAGCTACCTACCTTCATGACGGCAGTAAGTTGTCGTCCATTGTAACCGAACTTCACATTGGGGAACACGTCCGTAGGATTTATTACTGCTTCACTTGAGAGAGACACGTGTGTGAAATTGCGTCCATTCGGGTAAAACATCATAGTCCACAGCCTTGTCTTTGCAGAAAGTCCCTAGTATGAGAATGATATGCATCTGTTAAACCTTGACATAACAATTGTTTTTTTAAGATTCCAGAGCAGCAACAATTATATGTGACATTAGCCATTTTGTGCCTTAATTCATGGTGTAGTGGTTTAGTGTCTGTGTCAGCCTTTGTTAGATAATCAAGACCAGGCAAACTATACTGGTAACGCTCCAGGCTGCGGCACGATGACAGAGCTCACACACTGTTATAGCCTGTACTCCTACACGGGGTATCCCAACGGTGTCAAATGGGTTATGATAATTGGCTAGATTGGGCATTTGCGGTAGGAACTACCGCACTCTGAGTGGGCGAAGCTTACACGAGTGATTTGACAGGTCAATATAAACGTTGGTTTTAATGGTAAGAAATATCCATCAAACGATTCCAAGACTTTTCAACAAACGCGTCGGTATTTGATTGCAAAATCTACCTTCCATGTCGTCTTCATATCTTCATGAAATGTTACTGGGGAATGTCCATAATTTATGTTTTCATTCCACTTCAACATACAAATTAGGCTAGTCCTGCGCGAGGACGAGATATACGTTGTGGTGATGAAACATTCACCATAATATGTGTCCCCAAACGTTATCATGTGTTGGAGGGTCGGTTTATTTGCAGTTTATGAATAGAATACAATGTATTCAAATATCCACCGCAATCGGGGATTTGAACAGTGTTCTTTTCGTCGTGTTCGTCTTGCGTACATCTGGAATCTGAATGACAATGATCGTGAAAACCCTGGTAATCGTCAAACATAGTTTCAAAATAGTGATGAAAGTAGGTTTTGTCGTTTACGTCACAGGTTTCCACTGCCTAGTAGCAATGTGTTTTGGCCGAGTCACACTTGTCAGAAAGCTCCTCGTGCCGAAGTCAATCTTGAAACTTTGTGGGTCCGCGTGGCCTAGATTTTAATTCCCTGATGATCCCTTTTTGTGGCATGTCAAGTATCATGTGCATAAGGTCTTCCATATTTTTTGTATGTGTTTCTCATGTCCGACCCCAACTCACAAGAGAGTGAGCGACGAAATAAAATATGCAATTTAACAAAACAAATGTCTTTCAATAATTGTGTAAGATATGTTATTGTATATTTTATAAGCAGGGAATTAGTCCATAAATTAGTTGATGTTGCGAATCGCTTTGTTTCGGAAACAGCAGCTGAAGAAAGATAAAGTTCTTTTTTGACGTTGAACGTTGAACGGTTGGAGGAATCAGATCTGGATCGGTGCACAATTTTCCACAGCGGCAGGAAGAAATGAGATACAAAAACCTTTTATCAGTTCATAATGGAGATAGGGAACTCAGATTAAACATGGACAGTCTTCCATAATTCGAAACGATGTTCAGAAATATCTTTGTTCAATTCTGTCAAATCTGCGTGAACAAGGATTTCAACATTATTTTCATCACGGTTGTTCTGGTCGCTGGCTACACGGATCATCCTCTCTTGTCACTACTTCGGCATTAAACATTTTTTGGTCTCGCGGTTCAAAGCAACAATGTCGCTCTTAGATACATTTTTCTCCATCCATGACGAACATCTGTCATAATGTCAATGCCTCTACAATGTTGATGGTCAGTTGATGTCAACAATGTAATACACACAGCCTCATTCACGGCGTCATCACACACACCCACGGGATCAGGGTTATGACCTCGTGATGATAAAATAAATTAAAATGTTTTTATTAGTAAAGAATTGTTTTCGTAACTACAAGTATAAATACGTGCTGTGAATGTTAATTTTGGATTGCACTGCGTTTTTCTATCCGAATTGGATAGATTTCTAACTGCTTACGACAACAATTACTGGCGAGTGCTTTGCAAGTTCGCTTGTCTTCAATACGAGTAACAAAACATTTACGTGGGACTCTTTATTTGACGAAAAGAGCTGTTCGAGATGATTAGGGGAGCATCTGGTCATTTCCATTATGACATTGATGACTTTATCGTGGAGAAGGTTCCTATTCAAGATGACATCATTCTGGCTGTCAACTGAATTCAACAAAATGGCACCTCTTTTCCGCCCTTACAAGACCCGTGAAGATCCGGGGTAGAATAGGTCTTCAGCAACCCATGCTTGCCATAAAAGACGACTATGCTTGTCGTAAAAGGCGACTGACGGGATCGAGTGGTCAGGCTAGGTGACTTGGTTGATGCATGTCATCGGTTCCCGATTGCGTGGGTCGATGCTCATGATGTCAATCACTGGATTGTCTGGCCCAGACACGATTATTTACAGACCGCCGTCATATAGCTGGAATATTGCTGAGTGCGGCGTAAAACAACAAACATCAAACATCCGCCCTTACAAGTGCAACAGAAACTTTTAACGAATTAAGTGCCGATTCTTTGGATTAGTGGATCAGTGTCACAGCTAGATTTCATTGTGGACCCAGATAAAAACGAGGATGTTTGTCACATTGCTTTTGCCAACCATGCCTGATACAGGTAATTGTTAGGGAATGGAGCCCCACCAAGTTCGAAATTCGAAAATAGCGCTACAAATACTTCTGTACTGGGACGAATAGACGAAGCGTTTGGAGAGATCCTAAATAGTTGGATTTGAAGAAACTGATATTAAACGAAGCATCAGATGAAGGCGTACTCAAATCCACTAAACAAAAACTACACGGGACACATGTGGATCGAATGATCAAACTCAGTTTTGAGTGTGAAATATATGTGAAAGAAAAAGAAATCCATAATTAAAATTGTCTTGGAATATGTGTATTTGAGTTTTCCTTTAGCGTAGACCCGTGAAGATCCAGGAAAGAATAGGCTTTCAAGCAACCCATGCTTGTCGTAAAAGGCGACTAACGAGATCGGGTGGTCAGGCTCACTGACTTGCTTTATGCATGTCATCGATCTCAATTGCGAGGATCGATGCTCATATTAATCACTGGATTGTCTGGTTCAGACTCAATTATTTTACAGAACGCCGTCATTTAGCTGGAATATTGCTCAGTGCGGCGTTAAACAACAAACAATCAATCCTTTATCGTAAGTACATTATTATCCAGATAGGCCTGATGTAGGTTAAACATCTGGTTCTATTTCGTAAGTTATTAATCAGTCGGTTATGAGCACTGTTATGGTGATACATGTGACATTGTCATCGATCCCAATTGCGTGGATTGATGTTCATGCTGTCAATCACTGGATTGTCTGGTCCAGACTCGATTAGTTTCAGACCGCCGTCATATTGCTGAGTGCGGCGTTAAACAAACAAACAAACAAACAACATGTGACATATTCCTACATTGTTGTCAAGCTAAGATAAATTGGCTCAGTTTCTGGGGTTTCAATTTAGGCTTCTTCCTAAACACCAGCCTAGTTGAAAATATGTTTAATAATATAAGTTTTAACTTAATTCTAATTTAATCTGATTATTGTGTGGTATAACTGTTGAAGGCGGCGACCAAAACTAAACATATCAACTACCCAAATATATGTCATTTTCGGATTGAACTGAACTTGTCGCTAATACTTGTGTAACTAACGTCAATTTCGTATTTATTTATCGTTACTGTTTGTTTACCAAAACTGTTGTTGTGCTGCTGTTATGTCATAAATATATACTCCACAATACAATTTGACCACACATGCATCGAATGTGTCACATGTGCACATGACCATGTACTTTGCTATTTATAGCACAGCCATAAATAAGCTCCGCCCACTGAGGCAGACGCTCAAAGACAAACGATCCTATTTTTTATGATAAAATTAGACAATTTATTGACTTATAGCTAGACATGGAGCCATTTCTGGTATTCAAGGTTTGTCATTCACGTTTGATACGAAGTTTGATGATAGAGATATTGTTTTCATACGGTTTTTATAAAGCTTCTCTCAACGCTCGGTTGTGTAGTCGTTGTCAGTCCCTGTTCGAAATTGAAACACCGCCACCTTGCGAACTATTTATAGACAGGGCGGGGCTTTAACAGCTCTGAGTTTATGCCTTGTATTGTCAACATTATATTTATTTTGAGGTTACGATCCACCACACAAACAATAGCTCACCTGACGTGAAGGAAGTTCCACCAGCGCCACGTTCTCCACCTGGATGTTGCTGTCCAGGAGTACAGGTAAATCATCTGATGTCCCGACAACCAGCACCCGTGAGACGTGACACCAGTCGACCGAGGAGTTGGATCTTGTTCCACAAATTCCAGACTGGCGAAGGAAAGCTAGTTATTAAGTTGATACGTCTTGCAATGGAATCAGATAAATGAATGGGTTCACCCGTGAAGATCCGGGGTAGAATAGGTCTTCAGCAACCAATGCTTGCCGTAAAAGGCGACTAACGGGATCGGGAAGTCAGACTCGGTGACTTGGTTGATGCATGTCATTGATCCATATTGTGCTGATCGATGCTCATGATATTAATCACTTGATTGTCTGGTCCAGACTCGATTATTTACAGACCGCAGTCATATAGCTGGAATATTGCTGAGTGCGGCGTTAAACAACAAACAATCAAAGAAACAAATCATAAAACCATTTAGCTGTCGGAGCGTATGCGAAGAGGCCAATAGAGAAGGGTAACCTCTGGAATGTCTTTCAGAGTGGGTCACGGTCTGAGGCTAGCATTGGTATAATGGACAAATCGATAAAGAGGAAACAGAACTGGAATGAACCCATTCTGTCCCAGCCGGCTGTCATCCAAAGTCTCGCTGTCCTACAAGACACGTTTCTTGTTGTCACTCACAAGGTGAGGTGAAATGGGGTTTAACGTCGCGTCCAAGATTATTACACTTATATAGCGACGTGCATGCACGTGTATGTGTGTATGTGTGGCTGTTTGTACTAGTCCGGACTGATGCCGATGTATAGTACTAGCCCACCGAGATACCTTTCCGCAGTTTAACATGAATACCCCACTCAGAAACAGTATACTGATTTCGAGCCGACCAGTCCTTGTTTTAGCCCCTTAAGGCCGACAGGGTAACAACTAGTACCATCTTTTAACATTTTAAC